AGATCCAGTGGGTTCAGGAGGGATCCATAGGTCCTGAGAGGATTCAATCCAGCTGCAGATTTACAGCAGAACCTCCAGAGGGCGCTCTGTCACTCCAGCCTGGACTGGGACAGAACCACAGAACCAGAATAGTTTAAACATTTAGAAACTGGTTCTGCTTCATATTTCAGACTGTGATTAAAAATAATAATAATAAAACCACGAAGGAAATAATTGATTTATTCAATACAGTTTTATTGATAAACTCAAACGATCAGACGTTTATACTTTTTTATTAGCATAACATAAACGGGGAAAATCGACCCAAACTATGGAAGAAAGATTTTAACTTGGCTCCTTTTACTGTAATGGAAATGGGACTAAAACGTTCCAAGGTCCAGTTTAAAGGCTTTAATCAACGTCCACGCAGCCTGGCAGCGACGGTCTCTGAACCGGACCATCAGCTCATCCTCCCCGAGGTTCTGCTGGGCTGTGGGTTTACCTCCACCGGACTCCACCTGTGCAGTCTGCGGACATTTCTACACAAATGACGCTGATATTTTTCCTTTTATAACAGGAAACAAAGCCCAGATTATTACTGTAGTTTGTGGCCAACTTTACTCCAGGTGTGTGTGTGTAGCCGTGACCCAGAAGCAGCACACACCGCCTTCAGCTCTGATCTGCACGGACAAACACAAGCCACCTAAAACCCAAGCAGACCTTTCAGCGTTTTGCTCTTGGGTCCAATCACAGTTCTGTTGGACTGGGTTTTACTCACAGTCTCCAGGATGTGAAGGTCCTGCTGCTCTGCCCTCAGGCTTTCTTCAGGGCTAAACACCGGGTCTTCCATCAGAGCCTGCAGTTCTGACTGCCGTCTGCCAGATATTTGCTCTGTAACTTCTATACTCGACATATCTAGAGGTCGATAAAAACCCAAACAATACATTTAATCCACTACAGTTTATGACGTCTCCCTTCACTGCCAGATGTGGTTTTTGGGGGTCAAATGAATTTAGCACACTGTGCAGCTATAATGTATATGAAGAATTGATGAAATGAGAGGCAGTGAGATACATTTACAGGAAACTGTCTGGTAAAAAGACCTGGCGGTTCTGCTGATGAATGAACCAGAAGATCAGATGTTCTCATCTCAATGCTCAGCCAACTGTAAACTATTAAAATGACACCAATTCAGAACAGTTTTTATTTACATTTTCTTCAAACTTATTTTATTGCGAAACTTGATTAACTTTGATGAATGATTTTATTCAGTTTTACAAGAAAACCAGAAGACTTCCTGCAGAGGAAACATCAGTATCATCTGGGGACACAGCTGCTGAAAATTACATAAAATTAATGATGATGGGATATTTCAGCCTACAATGAAACGGTTCTACCGTCAAACTACAACATAACTGCCCTTATGGAGCATCAATTAGATTAATCTCAACTAGCTAGCTACTGGGGGACATAAGAACCGTGAAAGAAAGAATAACGCCTACACCCCTGGAGCCTTCTGGGCGTTCACCTCCAGCTCCCACTTTTCCAGAAACTCCTGCAGGTTCAGGTTGAAAACATCAATGCCTTTAGGCGACAGGTGGATGCCGTCGCCCCGGTACAGCCCCGTGTTGGTGCCGCACCGGATGTTGTCATGGTTCACCGAGATGCCGCCCAGATCTGACACAATGCTGTGGATTCTGCGGTTCACAGTGGTGCGAACCAGATCCACTTCATAGCTGTCTGGCGAGTGACGCCACACCCGGCGAGGGAGGATGTCGGACCACACCAGGAGGCAGTGTGGGAAGATGCT